TCCGGTAATTTATTGCGATGACCGAAGAGAAAAGAGAGAAGATCGCTGGAGTACTTGTGCCCCACCAATTTCCAAATTCTTTCAGTACTTGCAGTACATGGTTCAAGGCGACAGTCAAAATTAGGACCGACGCTTTAATTTTCCTGCTCATTTTCTCACAACTGTGACTTATTCGTGCGTCTCGGTCGTTAATCAAGACGAGTTTCGAAATCCTCGGAAATTATTTGGCTCGCCAGACGCCCCCGAGGACATTTTCAATATGGTTTTCATATTCACATTTAGTTGAAGAGATCAGGAAAGACATGGACATGAAATTTACTTTAAAAAATACTTAATAAAAAACTATGATTTATGTCTATGCTGCTGATGGGAATGATTATTTTTTGCATAGCTCTGCAGTAGCATTTTTCGACTGTATTTCCTGACACTTTCGTTCAGAAAATGTGATTGGAAATAGTTCTCACACCTTTCGCAAAATTGCTGTCGTATATATGGGAAATTAAATTGGAAAAATTCCAGAATTTTTGAACGGATTTGAAATAGAAGGCAGTCGGCGAGTCAAAACATACTGAAAATTTTCTGCAGCAGTTTTACGAACGAACAATTAAATATATATTCCAGTGGAAATTTCCAATTTTCGAACTCCGTAGAATATTAAAAATGTCCTTCAATCGTTGAAAAAAGCGCAACTGATTTAAAGCATAGAAAATTACTGGATCGAGAATTTGCGAATAATATAATTTCTTTCCAAATAAGCGGCATCGTTTCTAAAATACGTAAAATATATTCATCGTATTTTCCGTATTAAAATTGATTGAAACTCATCAAAACTGAACTTGGTTCACCGTGAGTAAATGAATCCCGATTTTAATTCAGAAAAAAGTTCATCAATCGACTTACAGAAGTATTACTCAAGAAAGAAAATACTGTACAGTACTGCAATGTATGCATATATTGTATTCGTCATCGAGATGAGATAAATTTAAAATACCTTGCTTATAACACATTTTGAGGTTATTCTCTATCGGGAACCATAAAAAAAGTTTGTTATGTACAGAATGTATGCATTATTTTTATCCATGTCTTTGTGCTGGAGTGAAAGAGTTGCCCTTATATTTATACCGTATTATTTTTGACATACTCTCGACTCCCAGGTTTTATGGGCGATAATTTGCCTAGTTGATGGCTATAGTCCAGTTTAAGTCTCGTGTCGCAGATTCATGAATGATCGTTTCACATTCCCCTGTTTCGCCTGGAGGGGAAACGAAAAGAGTAGTATTGTACTCTTTCTGGGACGAAACAGTTCGTTGAATGGAACTATTCTTGCTATAGTTCTAATTATATTTGACAGTCAACACCAAAAATGTCATCAATTTGAAAAGGAGTGTTACGAAAAAGGTCCGAACATGTCAGATTGAGTATGTAGATCGTTCTTAGATAGACGCGATTTTTACTGCCATACATGCGTATATGAACAGCACCCGTCACGCACCTGAGTATATTCTATTGTTCTTGACCTAAATCTTTCTGCAGTGAATTTTTGTAGTTAAAAAAAGACACTACGTTGAATTTTGTCGTAACAAAACCATTGGGATCTTTATTGGAAACATACTTTGTTAATGGAATATGCATGCATGAAATGAGTTTAAAATTGTGTAGACATTCAGATACAGCAAATTGTTGCCATATCCCGCGTGGTATACCTCATACCAGTGTTCCCCGACCTTTCTGGGCTCGTGGACCGGCAAATTACAGTGGCCCCCGCCTAACAGACCTCCCGTGTAAGGGATTTTCGCCAAACAGACCAGCTCTGCAAGCAGTTTTTCCTCCCGCCTAACAGACAAAATCCGCCTAACAGACTTCTTTAAGTTTAAAATTAGTGTTGAAAATTGAAATTTTTAATTTTTTATGTAATTGAATTTGTGTAAAGGACTTTTTGCCTAACAGACTTGTCCCTTGCACAAATCAAGTCTGTTAGACGGGGGTTGACTGTATTTGAAAAAATGAATTCTGCGCCACCCATAAAAAAAATACAAAAATGGAGTACAGTACATTTATTTATCATCTTGAATGAAACAAAATTATACTTTTAAATGCTCTTAAAGAAACAGACAAACCTTGACAAATATAAAATTAAATACACATTGGCTCTCTCTACAACAAAGTTCTCCGTACAACGAATTATTACTGGTCTCTCATTGAATTTGCTGAATTTACAATACAGTATTTCCTCACATTCTACTATACTTAGGTTATCTAAAACGAATTCAAGAGACCAGAAAAAAATTCGTTGAAGAGAGAATTTCGTTTAAGAAAACCGCTATAACATGGATAGAAAACCATGTCGTAGGAGAAAAAAAAAACATTTTATGCAGAGAAAATCATGTAAACAAGATCACTGCAGAATAAGTCCACCTGCATGTGCTTTGAATAATCTCGGAACTGCGCAAAATTCATAGAGATGTCGAATAAAATCTCCATAATTTCCCGAAAAACATTTGAAAATGCCTTCGTCTGCAAAATAATGGATAGCAGCCCACAATAATTGTTGACCCAAGTCGCTTATTTATCTGTACATGAGTTCAACTCCACACGCTAGCTTTATTTTCAGGTACGCCAAACGCCAATAATTCAAAAAGAATTTAATATTTTTTTCAAATCAAAGAATAATATTTTAGCTGGAGAACCACGACGTCAGACAAAAACACCGCAAAGCCACTCTAAACGCTCGTTCGCCACTGCGTAATTTACTCCCTGTTGCACACTCGCACATTTCTGCCATAATGCAGGAAAAATAAATTTGCCAAAACAAAACAAAAAAAGGTTATGACGGGTCGATGAAACTCGCTGCCCTCGAAACATGTCGACGGCGAAGCATAGGCAACAACCGCGGCTGCTTCTAGGTCAAATTCACCCTGCATACACCCATCACTTTTTTCCCTTGTATTCGCCCCCACCTATACGAGGAAATACTCAGCGAAAAAAAGAAAGCTTGACCCTTTCCGCAGAAGCGAATAAATATAATTCGACAAATTATTTGCCCAAGGTCATTATTTAGCAGTTTCTGGACGCATTCGTCAACATTGCTAAATGGAGCGTTTTCCTGAGGGTCCGTTTTCAAATGTCGATCAATCAGTTTGCATTATTTGATATCATCTAGTACAATCTTAGCACAAGAAATTATTTCTGTGTTCAGTTGGAAACTGAAGAAATTCTTTGTGATTACTATCAGTAAGAATTTTTGCTGCAGTATATGCCTATGGTTTTTTCCCCATGCTCACAGCCAAAATATTTGGACAGTAAAATCTCATTACAACAAACTTCTGGGGACCCAATGAAAAAATTATTATAAAAAATGTTTGCACGGAGACTGATGGTTTTTAACACAATTCAGACAGGAATTTTGCGGGAAATGGGCAATGAATACTTCAAGGTGCTTTCAAAACACATAATTAATAATTTACATCCTATCATAACTATATATAGTAAGTATTTCTGAAGTGAAATAAACTTTTGAAACAAATAATGCATAACTTCCCTTTCATTGAAGCTTTCCTATTGCACTATCAAGTGTTTTTCTTTAGAAAAAAGAAACAAAATTACATATGGCAGAAATACGGTACTTCCTTTCTGAATCAACTCATTCACTGATATGCAATAAATCTTTCTGCTCTTGCATTTACTGTATAGGAGGGAAATTATTCCAACGTACTGTGCATTTTAAAAAAGGGTCATCTACATTCTGGAGAGGAGCTTGATAATTTTCAAGAAACGCATGTCATGATGCATATATGTTTCAAGCACCAAGTTTTCTCTGCACTAAAGTTTTCTTCTTAGATAATGAAGTTGAATTGCTGCACCTTTTAATTTTTCTCAAGTTATCTGCACGCTATTATCAATAATCCCTATGGCCTTTGCACAGAATCATGGGCCACAATTGTTATGATATTAAAACATGCTAAAATTATTTTGTTTAAAAAATAATTTTTATAACATTAAAACCAAGGAAAAAAATTCGTTTCAGCAAAAAATTTGTCATAAGATTTGTTGTAACAGCATTCTACAGTGTATGGAATTTACGTGAAAACATGTGATCTGGGGTGCAATTCCTATATAGAGAACAGTGGAAGGGTAAATTGAATAAATGATGTCACAGTCAAAGAACCTTGAGCTGGTTTTATAAGTTGAAATTTTGTTGGATTTTGAGAGAAAAATAGGGGAAAACTGAGTTTAAAGACGTATTCAGCCAAGATCATTGATTGCTAAGAAAATGGCGAAGCAAATTATACCGAACTATACTAGATATTGTGACTCCACGGAATGTTTTGGTGCCATTTTCTAACCGAAGAAACGACTATTGCAGGAATGCTGTCTTCTACATCAGATCATATTCTCATGGGATCTTTGTAAGCTGATATTGGAAATAACAGCATGTATACAGTACATACAAACAAAGGAAGATTGATGAAAAAATTATCTGGTTGGATTTTCCCACTCCCTTCTAGTCAATAAGGGACCAGCAAAAAATTCCAGTTTGGGGAATAGGGGTTTTTGTTAGTGGGAATAAGAAGTACAGGAAATTGTAATGGGTGATACTCTGGGCCATAACCTGATTCTTGAAGGAGTTGAGCAGATGCTGAACATGGAGGCAATACTGTATAAGGATCATTCCCCAATGTTACACTTACAATTTCATTTACTTTTCTGTATTTCATCAATTCGAGTATAGCCCAAGACCACTAAAAAGATTCAAGTTCTGAAGGTTTGAGTGAGAAAGCTTGATCAAGTGAAGAGTGGATTTTAATGCATTCTTTCTGGAGAATTCCAAAAGGAACTTGAAGAAGAGGTTTGAGATGTAGGGTAGTAGGGATTGAACTGTATTTTAAACTGAAACTTCGAAAAAAATTCACATATCTTGCCTTGTATATAGACAACGTTATACAACAAATGTTACGCAAGAGGTGAGATAGCGACGATGAAAAATAACGAAGCAACTCACATAATTCCGAAAGCTTTTCATTTCCAGATTGCAACTGCACAAACAGCCCGGTAGACCGCAGTACGAGACAAAATTCCATCTGTTGACTAGCTAAGATTCATACTTGATTCTGTTCCAAAGCAAAAAGTTCCTTGACGGCAGTTTTCCCCCCACAATAATTCATCGACGTTTCAACCATCTAAAATAACCCGACCTAGTTACAGATACAACCTATTCTACGCAGATCACCCTCACAATATGCACCCCTTTCAGCTTTCACGAGTACGGTACGGTAATATAGAGCAGAAACAGAGCACCTGGCATATTAATCCAACCGAATTCACATGTGATTCCTCAGGAACTTGATGAGTCCAGTGGTGGAGCAGTCGTGATTGGAAATTTCCTTGTCTCCCGTCAACTCGGGCTCAATCGCCTTCGCGAGCACCTTACCCAATTCAACACCCCATTGATCGAAAGAATTGATGTCCCAAATGACGCCCTGGGTGAAGATTTTGTGCTCGTACATGGCAATCAAAGCGCCAAGGGTGAAAGGAGTGACTTTCTTGACAACAATCGACGTGGATGGACGATTACCCTTGAAGACCTTGTGCGGAAGAATGGCCGCGAGCTTGTCAGCAGGAAGGTTCTTGAGATCCTCCTTCACCTCTTCAGCGTTTTTGCCGCGCATGAGAGCTTCAGGCTGAGCCAAAAAGTTGGCGAGCAGAATTTGATGCTGCGGAGACGGGTTGAGACTCTGTGCCGGGGCGATGAAGTCACATGGAATCAAACGAGTTCCCTGATGGATGAGTTGGTAGAAGGCGTGTTGCCCATTGGTTCCGGGTTCGCCCCACACAATAGGTCCGGTGGAATAATCAGTCTCCGCTCCGGACCTGCAAAAAAATCACTGATCATTCATCTCGCACTTTCCACAGTCCGTACACTAATTCCGGGTTTCCAAGTCACATGAAAACTTCCACATTCGCATGTTTGAATGCAAAAAAAAAAGTGCGCAGTGAAAAATTATGCGCAGCGAATACAGTGGAACCTCGATAACTTCAACTTCCGCGTTTCGAAGTCGATTCCAGAATTCCTTCAGCGAAAGTGTATTAAAAACGATCTTGACTCAATGGATTTCCTCCTGAAACCTACATAGCTCGAATTCTTTGGAGGCCTTTCTACTATTGTTACATTGACACAGAAAATTGAGAAGCAATGAAAAATGCGACTTCACGCGTTTCGAAACAAAGTGAATGGACTAATTCGGCAAATGTACCCACGCTTCCAAGTTCGACACCATATCAATTCATTCAAGGCCCAGGATATCATAAATTACAATTTCCTCCAACTCTTTCTTTCCCCCAAAAAAAGATTTTTGTTTCCCTAACTCGAAAGAACAACTAGAATTTTTGCGACTGTAACACACGAAGAATTAATTCCATCAAATTAGATTCTCTTTCCGACGGTACTCAATGAAGCTGTAACTGCATGAATATCGAAATCTTTCAATCACGCTCCGAAATTGAAGAAGTTGCCACAGGAAATTCTTGATTCAAAAGACTTTTCGTTTGAAACGGTCAAAAGATTCATAAATTCGCAATTTATCTGTTCAACCCTCTCTTTGAAATTAAAAATCGATTTCTCGAGGAGTACCTTGTCACGAATTTTCCATTAGACTCCATGTCACCCTGTTGGAAGTAGGCCGCAAAACGGTGCAAGTACTGGTCGTACGGTAGCAATGCATGACTTTCAGCTCCGTAAAAGTTTGAATACCAAACGCCCAACAACGCAAGAATGACAGGTACGTTCTTCTCCAACGGCGCAGTCTGATAATGAAAATACAACTCCGGAGATTGAAAATCTGAAGAAAATGAAAAAAAAAAAAGAAAACGGAATAGAGAGCGATTAAGGTACCTGGAAGTGTTTGTCCATGAAGTGCGCGCCTTCCAGCAGCTTTTCGAAATTCTCGAACCCAACGTGAAGAGCAATCGAGAGCCCAATGGCCGACCACAAGGAATAACGTCCACCAACCCAGTCCCAGAAAGCAAACATATTCTTCTCATCGATGCCGAAGTCCTTCACCTTCGGTCCATTCGTAGACAAAGCAACGAAGTGCTTCGCAACATGACTTTTATCTTCGGCTGTCTTGAGAAACCACTGCTTTGCTGATGTTGCATTCGTGATGGTTTCTTGGGTCGTGAATGTCTTCGATGCGATTATAAAAAGTGTTGTTGCGGGGTTCAGCTTCTTCGTGACCTCTGCAATGTGGGTGCCATCCACGTTGGAGACGAAGTGGACACTAGGTCCCACTTGGTAATGACGCAAAGCTTCTGTCACCATCACAGGTCCGAGATCGGATCCGCCGATGCCAATGTTGACGACATCAGTGATCTTTTCCCCGGTGTAGCCTTTCCATTCTCCAGATATCACCTGCAAGAATCACCGTAAGCACGGCAAAATTTGATTGATACGATAAATCTAAGAGATATCCGAACAACTTCGTTAATGCCATTAATATATAGGATGCCTGAAGGCAGAAGAGCCAACAAATAAACGAAATACGCAGGTTAAGCTAAAACTTCAGTGGTCAACGAAAAAAGGCTCTCAACGTTTCTGATTCGATTCTCTGCAGATATTGAATACGAGTTCAACGAACCTGATGACAAAATTCCTTCATGTGCGCCAGAACTGCGTTCACTCCTGGCATCACGTCTTCTCCATCAACCACAATGGAAGTGTTCGATCTATTCCGCAAGGCCACGTGCAATACTGCTCGATCTTCCGTGAAATTGATTTTCTTCCCACTGAACATGGCATCGCGAGCGGAAGCGACTCCTCGAGATTCAGCCAAACGCAGAAGATGCTGGAAAATGTCATCATCAATGCGATTCTTCGAGAAATCCACCAAGATTGGGCCTCCATCATCTGATTTCGGAGTGTCGATAGTGACGCTGAATTTATCAAAACGATCCGGGTTGGCATTGAAGAGGGGAAGCATTTCAAGAGATTTTCCTTTTGAGTCGAAGATCGCTTGCAATGCGGCGTATGCCGGGTCTTGACGAAGGGGCTTCAAAGCTTCCATTTCGATTCGAAGCGATTATTACAGTCTCACTGAGATTCTTACGGTAATGAGATTATTCCCTGATCTGGAAAAAAAGCTGGAATATAGAAGGTGTACTTCTTCATAAACTGAAAAAAAACAATAACCAGCATTAAACGAAGATCACTCCGACGGAACCCGAAGCATGCAAACGCTCGTAACGAACTCTGACTTCTTCCTCGACTGCAGTCGCAAAAAAAAAAAAAAAAACGGAATGGAGGGAAAATATCGGAAAACTTTCCAGGTTGCCTTCCGAAGTTTCATCGGGAAATGCCAACGTGACGACAGCCACGGTTACTGTAAGAGCGTTTCGTGTACGCCACGTGAAACCAAGCAAGGCGAGCACGAATCGCCACGAGACATTTTACGAAATGAACAACCGCAACGCACTGGAATCCACATGAAGCGAGAAAACCAGAATTTTCGTAACAAGAATTCAGCCATGAACAACTGAAGTACGGGGGGGGGGGGGGGCTTCAGCACTTCCTGTTGTGAACTAGTTCCAAAGAGTTACGTGAACGATAATATAATCACATCGTTGGCTAAGCCTTACTCGACTCCATTTCTTGTTCCGCCTCGGAAATGGGTAGAAGTATTTGACAGCTGTCAGAACTGGTTACACCACTTGTGCTATCATTTGATCATGAAGATTCTTTGGTTGAATAATTCAACTTTTAAAACACTGTTATGCATAACTGCTTTTGACTGAAGAACATGTTTTTTATATTCAACAAAGACAAGTGCAATAGAACTCACTAAAAAACCCTCAATTCAGCGTCATCCTGTTCCCACACAGTTTTATTCACAAAGCAATGAAGTGATATGGGAAAGAGATTCATACAGAATTGGCAAAATAAGGTAATTAACAGCATTGTTAGGCACCTGAATCTGTTCCATAACAATTTTTCATGATAAGCGTTTCGAACAGCTTTGACCCTCGCAAACATTTGCTTCAAAATAGGGGTTTCAATTAATTGGTGCAGACTATAAATGACCACATTCTAAGATATGAAAGTTTGCCAGAAGTACTGTACTGTACTACGTTCTGATCAGTATGCTTATTTTTTTCCAACACCCGCAACCAAGTCGCCAAAAAACTGTCCCATTTCCAACAAATTTTGTTGGTTGAAGAGACTTCACAGTTGCTGTTTTCAAACAAATTCGTATTAACTGATCACAAGGTCACTGTCCTTCCAACTCCTTTGCTGAAGTCCAACAATAACCCTGAGTGTGAACTTCTTGTTCTTGCGCGAAGTTTTGCTTCAAGAAAGTTCAACACAAAGATACAAGAGCCTATAACACGTCTTTGAGACCATGGTTATATAAAGGGCAATGAGCAAGGTTACCAACAATTTAGCTTACATAGTCTCCAAGAATTGGAGTTTCAAACAAAATTTGCACATTGTTAATCAAAAATTAAAATTGTGGCGTTTCTCCAAATTAATCTTAGAATCCTACTGGAATAACAGAATACAGTAGTGCAAATAAAACTGATAAGGCTGTTCATTGGGTTATCAGCATTAGAAGTTTACAATTTCATCCATAGATGTTTGCATTTTTATGGAGAGATTTTGCGGCAGAGAACCCCATAACATGTGGAGATAACCCTATGGGGCCACAGAAAAATTTGTTTGACAGAAAATATCTTTGTAGAGAAAGTCCACTTGTATTAGACTGTGGTTACAACGAATCTCCTTGTATCACATAACCATTACAACTAGCACCTCCGAACAGGTCACCATTACTCACTGGCTGGTCTCCAAAAGACTAAATCCTACCCAGGAGGGAACTGGGAATTGCTCTCCTAGGATCATGAGTAGTTCAATCTCATTCTCATCTTACAATTCAACAAGGTAGCTCAAAAACAGAACACCAAAATGAAAAGTACATGCATCCTTCACCCAGCAGGTACCACAACATCACCACCATCTTTCTCATCTCACATCAAAATTAATGTGAAAATGTTCCATAGCCTCTGCCTGTGCATTTTCAGAGGGGAGAATAACCATCAATCTGACACTTCTCACATAGGACTCATTACCATGCAATACCACTGTGCATTTCCTTTCTGAACATTCCTTGTACAGCAAATCTTCAACCCAGGATGTATGAAATTTAGACACCCTTACATTCAGACAATTCAACTTCAAATAATTGAAAATTGGAAAAACATGTCTCAACATATTGACACTTCAGCAATATTTCTAGAAAAATGGAAAAATCTTCCTTTACAAAATGTGGACACATCTTGACCAATTTAAGCTAATGTAATTAAATTCACAAACATTGAAAATGAATTTATTTACGGTATATAAATCTACTCAAATGTATTAGCAAATGCAGGTTAATTGTGTTCTTCTTTTCTTGAAAATTGGCGTACAGTATTACATCACTACCACATTTTAAACCTAATCTGCAAACCTTGCTAGTTCCTTCTTCAGATGGCAAATGTGAAATGTTCAATGAATAATCGCACGGATTTCTGGAACAAAAAATCGAGCTTGAAGATCTGAGAGCATTCCTATACACCGCACTTCTTCACGACTTCGGCTCGCAAAAAATTCGCAGAGCAACAACAAGGGTTGCTTGAAAGATAAATACTGGTACTGTACAATACACTACACATACAATTGAACACACACTTCAAAAATGTTACTGAAGTTCGGAGTCACACACTACCGCTTCACACAGCACTGCGTTACATGAGATGGGAATAAACAAGAAATAAGAAAGGAGAACGACGCAATTACGATACTGAGATCACGTACACCACCGTCCCTCTCTTCTTGCGCTCCGCTCAGCAACTATTGCACTGCCTCTGCGCCAAGTTAACCAGTTGTTGCGGTGAGGTTCAAGTATCGCAACCCAGTACAGTATCTCACTGAGACAGAAGGAACAACACCTGGTCTTATAATCTTTTGAGGTCCGAGTTTCATGTGAAATATCACGTAGGACAATACAGTACGGTGATTCTCGAATTTTGGTTGCGTCAATGAATACGAAAGGGATCATGAGCTCGGAATGAACCACAACTTCGGAATGATTTTTTTTCTTTGAGATTTGGAAAACAACCGCTTGAACTTTGGTGCATTCATTCTCCGTTCCAGCTTCGCACGTTCCTCAATTGAACATTATTGAACTGACGCCAGAAACTGAGCACGAAAAATACCAAAAACGTATGGAAGAACGATTACTGAATATTAACGTAATGTGCGGTAAATACACGGCAAGTGATGAGGACAGGTTTCACGAACAAGGGATCTGAAGAAAGCGGTCAGACATAAAACAACTGCCAGGAAAATCGGAGAAATTCAGGACTTGAAACCATAACTAAGCAAAGTATTTGAATATTTCTGCATCGTACGACCGTGAACGATCACCCATCAAAAATGTAACAATGTAGCATCTGTCTCAGAAAATAACATAAGTTTAACTACTGCAACAAAATTGGATGAAGTTGCCCTTACGAAAAAGGAAGAGAAGCATTCGCCAATAGATGGAGACAGCTGTGAAACATGGCGCCGCCCAGCGCGTTTCTAGTGACGTTCCCCCTAACCCTAAGCTCCATGTACTGTACATTGTACCCGGTGTAGCAGGCAGGGCATACTCCCCAGGCACAGCGTACTCCCCCTGCAGGAGGATTAGTCCACATCCGCGGAGTGCGATTCAGCAGAGGCTCTTCTGAAGTGATCACTTACGCAGGGGTATCTTCCACATAAGTTTAACTACTGCAACAAAATTGGATGAAGTTGCCCTTACGAAAAAGGAAGAGAAGCATTCGCCAATAGATGGAGACAGCTGTGAAACATGGCGCCGCCCAGCGCGTTTCTAGTGACGTTCCCCGTAACCCTAAGCTCCATGTACTGTACATTGTACCCGGACATACCCTTACCCTCACACTGGGATGGATTTGACTTGAGACACGTGAAACTCTTACAAATCTGCCCGAGGGTCTGTACAATGTTAAGATAAACTTTCAACATGCCTTCAAAAATGGAAAATTTTCAGTTTGTCAATATTTTGATACCTCTGGAACCAATCCAGCTAATTACATTCACATGCATTACATAAAAATGAATCATGAATTATTTTAATTACAGTAATGATCCAAAGCAGGCTACTTCTGTGCTTCTCTTTCTATAGCTCCTCTGTCTCTGTCTACTTTCCAATGTCTGAGAACACTATGAAACTACAGTATTTTTACTCATTCCTTGCTTCTTGATATCCTTTTCACACCAAAAAGACAGATTGTGTGGTTTTCTTAAGCAATTATTTTCTGCATCTTGAAGCTGAGAAAGAAGTTTTCAATCAAGTACCAGCGGGACTTTCTCAAAATTTCGAAAAACAGGAGAACCAACTGAATATACAGTATTACCATGGCGGTCTAAGGGAAAATGTAATTCAACATATAGGGGCAATGTCCAAGAACCAATCACAACTGCATTGCAGGGCCCCAACATATTGTTCAGATGTTTTATTTTTCCAATTTTCGAGACAGAAATGTGTCACAGCAGAATCAATTTCTGTATTAACATTGTATTTCACACATATCCTCAATTTCCAGAATTCGAAGTTAAAAATATGAGTTACACCGAGGCATCATATTTGCCTCGGTGAAACTTACATTATTTTCAGAACTAATATGAAAGGCATTTAAGAGGCTTGATTTGGATTGGAAGAACTCTACTGTGCTCAGGTTTCATCGGAGTGCATATTCACAGGTTTCGCGTACAATTATCTTGCATTTTTGAAGTAAAAAGAGCTTCCATGCAAAAATACTGGTGCAACATGTAGTTATGCACACTCAGATGCAGACAGGATGCTCCCATGAGTGTTGGCTGATAAAACTGGAGTATATCTCCCAATAACAGCAAAATCACAAGTTTATGTGTTTAGATGAAGTAGAGCCAGGGGTGTACTGTGAATAGAACTGCTCAAAAGAAAAATGTCTTTGGCAAAATTATCATTCATGTTCAAACCCGGATACCATTTTGGATTCTGGGCGCATGCATTTTTCACCTGATCTAGAGAAAACCCAGGAATAAATAGGGTTCATACAA